ACATGGATTAGTCCATACATACCGGCTAGTCCAGCCTAGTTTCTAGGAGGGATCATAGCACTTCCAGCAAAAGAAGTGGCCCAACTCTGAAGCAGTTCTTCCACATTTCTGTGTATGTGCTGGGGCTGGTCACATAACAAAAAGCTTCAACTGATTTTAGAAAGGGGTCAGACCGGATTCCTTTCCCACTGTTGGCATCTGAGGTCCCCCAGAAGTATGGAACTAAGAGAAGGCAGGTGGTTTTATGCCATCACACTTCTCCCCCTCTTACATGTGTATGTGTATGTTTGTATATCTGTGGAGACCAGGGGCAGGGGCAGACGTCTTCACCGACCCCTCTCCATCTGTTCACTGAGGCAGAGTCTCTCAACTGGACACAGGGATTATTGACACAGCTAGTCTAGCTTGCTCCAGGGATCCTCTGTCTCCACTCTCCTGGCGCTGAGATCCATGCCCCCTTGACATCTGTGTGGATGTGGGACTCTGAGCTCAGGTCCTCAGGCTTGAACAGAAGCACTTTATCTAATGACCCATCTCCCCAGCCCGTCACCACATTTTCTGTCTCCATGAGCCAATCCTCTTTTAAGAACTCCCCAATGTAGAATATAAGCATACCTGACTATCAACTGGCCTTCCAGAAGTTTCCCCCTTACATATCACTCAGGTATGGGACTACCAGGTACTGCTTTCATTTTGGGCATTTATACCTCAGTATGCTGTCAAACTAGTCATGTTGCCAGGAAACCACTGAAAACGGCCAGAACCAGAAGCTTGAGGTACTAAGTATCCATTTATAAGTCTGTGGCCTTTATAGTTCTGGCCATAAAGAAAGAGAAGGACCCTTGACTTTTTCTCTCTTGAGGAGCCTGAAGTGGTGGGAGAAAAAGGCTAAAATATTTTCTCTCCGACTTACTACTGTTACTATGTACAGTTACCGTTAGGCCTGGTCAATATGTGCAGAGAGCAGAGAACTGGAGCCATGCTATGAATTGTGAGTTCCTGTTCTGTAAATCTACCTTCAAATCACAGACCCTTAACCTCACCTGTACATACAGCAAACTTATCAGAAGCATTTCTTTGTAAAAGGCACAGGCAATATGGTTGTTTCTCATGAAATTATTGTCCAATCCCACATAGATGTTATGATTATTGATCTGTTCCTGTGTATTCTTACTGGGTCCTTTTCTCGTAATTAAAGGCTCTTCTTCAATCTCATCCCTCCGTCGATCACTTCCTGAGCTTAACTTCTGGGGGACTCTTGAGTTGTTGTGTGTAAAACCCACCATTGATCATGTCTACCATGTGAGAATATTTTCACAAAGTATCCCATAGAGAACCTGGAACACGGTGATCATTCTGCAAATGTGCTCCCTCAACCCTCCTGTCACTTGTTTGGGAGAAATAAGAGACTACCACACAAAAGAACAAAAAATGACAACATTGGCGTGGTTGTCTTCCAGTTGTTTATGGCCTCCATCTTGAGGATTTTGATAAAAGATTGATATCTCTTTATTGTAAGCCCCTTTTTGGAAACCCAACTTAGGTTTGTGTACATACTCTGGCAACAAGTTTGATAATAACATGGCAAGGCCAGCCAATGGTATTAGCATCATGTATACATGGCATTGTTTGTGCAATGTTTGGATATATAATTGTATTTTATTCTTGTCTTAAAATAAATAGAAAACAAAATTGAAAGTGCTTTTTGAGGACCTGGGTCTGATGAATGTGATACACTTGGGAGGGACATAGACCTGATGCGAGTCCCGAGTGGCCAGTCTGAAGTCCTGAGGGGACAGCCACTGCACCATCAAGCTGGTCTGAACAGTGTTATCAAAGAATGTTCCCAATGGTGAGAATGAATTCTTATTACTTAGAAATAGAACCACACATCAAAGCACATATTTATTCACCCTTTATACACACACCATATTTACCTACATGTTTAGGAATACATTTTATATAATAAAAACATGGAGCTGGGCAGTAATGGCTTACGCCTTTAATCTCAGCACTTGGGAGGTAGAGGGAGGTGGATTTCTGTGAGTTTGAGGTCAGCCTGGTCTACAGAGCGAGTTCTGGGACAGCCAGAGCTGTTACACAGGGAAACCCTGTGTGTGTGTGTGTGTGTGTGTGTGTGTGTGTGTGTGAGAGAGAGAGAGAGAGAGAGAGAGAGAGAGAGAGAGAGAGAGAGAGAGAGAACACCATGGATTTTTTTTTTTAACACAGTGAGGACCAGAACTACAGTATAAGCAGGCATGTGAAGAGATGGTCTCCAGATCTTCTCTCTGGTACATTGACAATAGTTCTTCTACCATTTTCCTTCCTCAAGATTTTACCAGAGACATGTTCACAGCAGTTACATTTACTCCTAATTATCGATAGAAGCAAACTGACCTCCAATAACCCAGTCAGCCAGCACCTTTCCTTCATCTTGTGTTAACATTTAGGTACAGACAGCCAACTACGTGAGTAACAAAGTAGGAAGACTGAGAGACTAAATGTGAACAAGAGGTTGGCCTTCCCAGCAAATAATTTAATTCGACATATGTACCAGATGCCGATGACCCTTTGTGCTTCGCTGTGGCCGTACAAAGAACGTGCCTCTAGACCACTCTAATGACTAATTTTACAGATCAAGAGGATACTTACCTTCCTGATCCTTTGTCATTAAAGACAAACAAACACAAGGGCTAGCCTAGCCAGCCCACTCATGCCCGGATAGAGTCCTCTCCTCCATGCACCAGGGAAGCAAGGGGATATTCTGAGCTCCTCCTTCCGGAAGTAGTGTGCAAGTTCCACCTGCTTCATGGAGGAAGTCATAGTAACAGATTTGTTTCTGAGAAAGATGAGGGATAACATCTGAAATTGGAGGACTCTGCCTGGAAAATATTTGGGTGCGTATGTAAATTGTTTTTTTGGTTTCCAAGCAAGTTAGTTATTAAGAATATGAAATGGTCTTCATTCACTCCTGCTGGCCAGACACCAGGCTTCCCCGGGGGGGGGGTGCGGGGGGGTGTGAGAGGATGAGTAGGAGGCTGTAAGATGGTTTACAATTCTCAGGCACAACTTGGAATTCATTTTCTCAGAAAAAGGAAGGTTCCCAGGCTGGCCCGCCAAAGCTCATTTAATCCACAGAATAGAAGACAGTTTTATCTTTCTACACCATAAGAGGCAGCGTGGTAGAAGGACGAGAATCTTCATTTGGCAGGCAAGAAGCTTGGCTTGTATTTCAGTCAGCTGCCCACGGAGGAGTTCACATCACGACTTCACAGCAGCGCGCTGCGTCACCTCTGAAGCACAGAACTGTGCAGTCAGTAATGCTCCAGGTCGCCTCGAGTCTGAAAGACTGAGGCCAAGGTAGGGAACCCCTTCTGAAGAAGCCTAATGGAGCCATCACCACGTAAGTAGCCAGGATCTTTGTGTGGGGGTGGGGTGGGTGGTGGGAAGAAGGAGAAGGCAAGGAGACAGGATCAAACCCAGGGTCTTCCTTCCCTCATGCTGTGCAAGTGTCTACAATTGAGCAACCTCCAGCCCAAGGGCTTTATTTATATGATGTGACAGCTGCTGTTTCTTACTTTTTATCATCTTAATTGATGGACTGATTAAACAACAAGAACTGAGGGAAGGCAGAGTGTGAAGCTGAGTCCCTACGATCCCAGTATCCTAGAAGCAGAGGCAGAACATAGTGAGCCAAGGCTAGCAGGAATTGCATGGAGACTCTTTCTTGAAGAACTCAAAGCAAACAACCACCACCACCAAAACCCAAATGAAACTGAGTCAGAGACAATGAACTAGAAACCACATAAAGAAATTAATGATCTTAATTGCTCTTCAGTCTCCAAATTAAAGTTTTTTTTTCCATTTGTGTGTCTTTTTTTGGGGGGGGTGTTGAGGGGTCTGTATCACAGCACAGTTGTGGAGGGCAATTTGTGGGAGTTGATTCCTTCCTTCCACCTTGTGATTCCCAAGAGTCAAACTCAGGTCATCAGGGTAGAGGGCACCTTTGCCCTCTAAGCCGGCTTTCCAGCCCATACAACTGAATGTTTTGACTGATAGCTCCTAAAGAAAGGACTCACAGCAATAATGAAGTTCTAGAACAGTTCAGCTAGACAGAAAAACTAGTGTTGGCAAGGAGCAAGTACCCTCCCTTCATCTTCCTAAGGTGACTGCCAAGACAAATATGAAGGAGAAGGAAGAAACAGAAGTTGAAGGAGCCAGGAGGCAATGTGCCCGTAAATCCCAGGATTTCCATGAGGCTGAGGCAGGAAACATGGTTAATTCCAGGTCAGTCTAGGCTATGTGGAAAGACCCTGTATTATCAAAACAGATAAGTAACAAGCAAACACCCCAAACACCAAAGACTTGTCATGTAGATCAGTGATAGAGTAGTGTCTAGCATGCCCAAGTCTGGGTTCAAGTTCAGCACAACCAAAGATACATGTGTATATGTATTTGATTGAATGAATTGGTCTTTTGAGACAGAGTTTCACTATGTAGCCCTGGCTAGCCTGGAGCTCCTCCTGAGTTCATAGTGGGGGCTTATCTCTGGATGCGGGTAGACAGGCCTGTGCTACCAAACTGCCTTGAGAAGGTAATTTCATTCGAAGGAAAGTGTAACTGAGGAAGGAAACCAGAGGATGCACTGTCATTTGTACCCTAAGACCTTGATGATTTTGTTCATCCAGAATAAGAATAAAAGACTGAATTTGTGGTTTTTCTTACTTGTTTCGTGGGTCCTCAGCTCTTTAAATAAAATTGGATCTAGTAAAAATGTTACGGGAAGAGCCTGAACTATCATCAAGAGGTGGACTTTTATTACTTGCATTTCTGCCCTCTAAGTGTCAGGGAATGAGGTTAATCTAGAAGAAGTGGATAAAATAAGACATTCATAATTCTCATTCCCTGGTCTGGCAAAATATCTTTTTTATTTTATTTTATTTTATTTTATTTTATTTTATTTTATTTTATTTTATTTTATTTTATTTTAGTGCTGTGGATGAAACCCAGAGTTTTCTGCACACTAGGTCAGCGCTCTACTACATCCTAGCCCCCAAACTAATTTTGATGGTGTTCCTGAGCTCTTCTGGTTCAGTCTTGAGTTTATCAGATTTCAAGGAACTTGGAAGCCACACTTGTTTTTCTCTAATCAGTTCTTTTATCTCCTAATCCTTCCTCCTGCACCTGTCATTACCACAGTTTTATTGACTGATGACACACACCAGAGTTCTTGGCACACAGTAAATGCTCAATAGAGTTATTGAACTGGTGACCTCATCTGTTTTTTCCGCCACAAAATTTCCCCAAATTCTCCACAGAGATGAGGTGTCTCCTTCTTTTACTTCTGATTCCCGTTACCACTTTGGGAGCACTTATATGAGCAATCACATTGTGCATTTTGTTTTTCGGGTTTTCGAGACAAAGTTTCTCTGTGTAACAGCCTGGCTGTACTGGAACTTGCTTTGTAAACTAGGCTGGCCTCGAACTCAAAAGAGATTCGCCTCCTTCTGCTTCCAAAGTGCTGGGATTAAAGGTGTGTGCCACCACTGCCTGGATTGCATTGTGCATTAAAAAAAAAAAAAAATGCCCTGCCTATTCTTTAACATAAGAGTTCCTAATTTTAGATTTACACTCCCCAAATACTTCCTAATTTTACTTGTGTTCTTTCCACCTCCAAGCATTTGCCAGCCTAGTGTTCCCCACAAAACCCAGCAAAAGCTTATGCCTCAAATCTCGGAGGCTAAAAGGCTGGTGATGATGGATGTTTAAGAAACTACTCATCCATCTCAATGCGGCACTCCTGCTGCTTGCTCTTCAATTGCCCATCATCGCTTCATTCAAAGGCAGTGATTATTCATTCATGGAGCCTTTGCCGAGCCTCCACTATGAGCCAGTCACCGTGTTAGGTGCTCTGGAAGATATACAAAGATGAATAAGATGCTTTCTCTGATTTCAGTAGCAATTACTGAAGTAAGATTCATAAGCAATTAATCATGCACTGCCTTGTGAGATCTCTTATACTAGCTGGAAAGCATTTTTTAAATACTGCTGTGTGATTTGCCTTTTCACTCCTTAATGTTTTCGTTCTGCAAATAAATGTCTATGTGACAAGCACCATCTTGGCAGCTCAGACAAATGATCATCAAATGATAGTATCTGCCATCAAAGCAGGTCAGACTGCAATACAGAAGAGGAACTGGGATTAGGTAGGTAGCAAGTATGATGTAACTTACCAAATGCTATGGGAATCCCAAAGAAGGGGTGCTTAATTGTCCAAGAGCATGATGCAAATTCTCACTGAAGATGGGCGACTCAGCTAGCCTAGGAAGGACAGAATTAAAGCAAGCAGGTGAAGCAGGGCGTTCTAGATAAAGGAATACCAAAGGCAAAGGCTTAGGGCTGGTGAAGTAGCTATGTGGCAAGGTGCTTGCCTAGCACATAGATGGTTCTGGGGTCCATTCCCAGCACTGTATAGGTTACAGAGGCATAAGGAACATGATGTATATTTAAGCGAAGGCAGAAGACAGATATTAGTGACAGGTAAATGTTCTAGTTTGCTTTCTGCTGCTGTGTTAAACACCATGACCATCTTGGGGGAGGAAAGAGTTTATTTGGCTTACATTTCCAAGTCTCAGTCCGTCACTGATGGGAGTCAGGGCAAGAGCTCAAGCAGGAACCTTGGAGGCAAGTGCTGGCTTGCTCCCCATTGCTTCTTCAGCCTGCTTTTTCACACATCCCAGGACCACCTGCCCAGGGGGAGCACTTTCTCTGTGGGCTTGGTCCTCCCACATCAATCAGGAATCAGAAAAAATGTCCCACAGACACACCCACAGGCCAATCTCAAGGAGGCAAGTCCTTAATTGAGGGTTCCTCTTTCCAAGAGTTTCTAGTTTGTGTCAAGTGGACAAAAAACTAACTTGCACAGTAAAGTCGGGTGTGATTGTGCAGTGCATAGTCATTACGATGGTCTGAATGAGAATGGCCCCCATAGGCTCACACATTTCAGGGAGTGGAACTGTTTGAAAGGATTACAAAGACTAGGAGGTGTGGCCTTTTAGGAGGAAGCATGTCTCTGGGGGTGGGGCTTTGAGGCTTCAAAAGTCCATGCCAGACCTAGTCTCACTCTGTCTGCTTGGAGGTCAAGATGTGGCTCCCAGCTCCAGTTTCAGTACCATGCTTGCTGCTATGTCCCCAGCCGTGATGATAATGGACTGACCCTCTGAAACTGTGAGCCAGCCTCCCAGCCCCTAGTTAATGCTCTTTTATAAGGGTTGCTTTGGCCACGGTGTCTCTTCACAGCAACAGAACAGTGACTAAGACAGTCACAGTCTAAGGAAGCTGACTGTACCCCTCAGCAAGGGCATTACTCTCCCTTCTCATTACAGATGTGGTGCCCACTTATTAGAAGAAACATCCCAAAAGGGCTGAGATGTGACTCGGTAAACTGCTTGTCTGAGGATTTGGGTTCAGACCCCAAGAACCCACATAAAAAGTTGGATCTGGGAAGTGGAGACAGAAGGATTCC